GGTACTTCTCCAGCTTCTCATACTCCTTCTTCCTGATGTTGCTGTCACTAGGCACTGCTACATCTATCACCAAGGCCATCTTCTGGTCCTTGTCTACTACCACGATGTCTGGTTGATTGGCCAGTACCTGCCTGCCTGTCTGGATCTGGAAGTTCCACAGGATCTTAGCCCTGTTATCCTCCACGACCTTCTGTAGAATCTCCCATCTGGACTTGGGGGGGGTCTAGCCCATACGCTATGCAGATGTTCCTGTACACAATGCCAGCTATTTGGTTTTGCCCTTCAGTGTATGCTGTTCTTGCCTGCATCTTACACCCTGCCACTATGTGTTGGACTGTCTCTGAGGCCTCTGCACAATCTGCACCTTGGGTCCTGTCTAGTGTGGAAGACCCCTGCTTCTGTGGATCTGGTGCTTAGTGCCTGTTCTTGTGCTGCTATGATCAGTGCCTCAGTACTGTCTTTTAGTCCAGCCCTTTCCAGCTACTGGTAGGATTTCCCAATGTCAGCCACCAAAGCTGTCTGTCCATGGTACATCCCATGCAGGGTCTTGTCTTGCCATGGCACTTCCTCCTCTTGAACTTCCTCCAGTGTCTGCTGCCACCTCAGGCATTCTCACAACAGTTCATCATTGGGTGCCGTCTTACTGATGTACTGCTGGATGCTCTGGGTTTCATCCAGGACACTGGCTTTCACACTCATCAGACCCCACCTGCCCTCTTTGTGGCTGGTGTACAATCTCTGGGTGTTGGGCTTGGGGTAGAAACCTCCGTACATTGAGAGGAGCTTCCATGTCTTCACATCAGCAGCCTCCATGTCCTCCTCTGGCCAGCTCACTATACCGACAGGGTGTCTTATGACTGGTGGGGTGTACGTGTTGATGGTGTGGATCTTGTTCTTCCCATTCAGCTCAGAGTCTCAAGGGGATGGTGATCTCCTGAGGTGGCCCCACTGTTCTTTATATCTAACGTTCTCGTTTAGCCTGTTTTAATAATAACAATGTTTTTAATGGCATTCTTTTTTAATATTGTTATTTTATGGTTTTATTGTACGCCACCCAGATTCACATTCTGTGAGATGGGCGGCCGTATAAAAACAAACAAACAAACAAACCTTTCTTAGCATGTTTCCAGGCAGCATATCCTTCCAGGGCTTTCTGTCATTGAAAAGTCTGCATGGAAGGTTACTTGTCCAAACCAAATGGTCTTTGAATCCTAAAAGATAACTGAGTTATCATCTCTCAAGTCATAATCTTTCACAAAATCCAAGGAAACATTAGCTTCAGGTTTGTGATCTTTCTCCATGAGCATTTAGAAGTTGGGCCAGGGAAGAGCCTTCAATTGTATCAACATTCATTCCCTCACCAAAAATCTCTGGGAAAGAGGGAAAATTGTAAATCTGGATAGCGGGCAGAAGCTATAGGAAGAAATAGCATGGAATAAGAGAGTTGAGCCAAATAAGATAGAGATCCATCAAAGGTTGCTTGGTCAAGTGCTCTGATTATGTGCTGTGATAGCAATCAGTGGAAGTTTTGTTGACAGGGATTCAGGAACCACAAGAATTCAGCCAAATTCTGAGACATACAAAGACTTTTGCTTTACATCCAGAACTGGAAATTTTCTGAGAGATTCAAATACTATTTGAATCACAATGGATTTAAGCATCACAGGCTGGACAGCTTTGCATTCTGAACCAAATAATCACACAGTTTCTAGAATGAATGCAGTATATCCATCGTTGCCAGCAAACTAGTCACATATAGTCTACCCTCCTCTATATAACAATGAATTTATTTTCTCTCTTTCCAGCAAGCCTTTCTTGTTTCTGCAGCTCATTTCCCCCAACTTGTTAATTATAAGCTTGCTGTTCAACTCATACCTCATCCCCTATTATAGTCCATTTGTACTATATTGATAAGTAGCTATAAAAAAGAGGAAGTAATTTTATTGGCTGTGAATAAAGTTAATATTGGTGTTTCTCAATGTATTAGGTTCGGTGGTAAGGTGGTGTTTTCTTAGCCCACAAATCTTCCTTTCCTTCATACCATTATTATCTACCCTTTTTCCTTTTTGTTTATACTTTCTTTCCTATTGATTCCTTTTCATTTACAGTTAAACAGAATGGGAATGGGAAAAATGGGAAAGAACAGGTGTAAGAGGAGGAAGAAGACACGGCATTTGAAGGAGAACAGAACATTAAGGACAACTCGTATTGGACGTCAATCTGTAAGGCACGGAGGGACAGAAAAAAAAGTCATACATATAAATCTTCATAAGCAACCCAGGTATCTAAATAAATGTCCCTATTACTGATAAGTTTGATAGTCTAATAAGGAACAGAAAGACACATGTTCACTGGATAATTGGTGGTGGGAACTTGTCCTTCCAGTTCTCAAATCTAAGTCTCTGAACAATGATGATTGCTTTTATGTCCATTGGGTAGATCAAAAACATACACACATAGAGAGACATATTTATGCCCATATTTTGTTAGAGACTTGTTCTGTTCTATAGTTTCCACTTTTTATGCATATGCTATATTTAAGAAAAGGCTTAACAACAACAACAACAACAAAATATTGTTTAAGAAAAGCCTGAGGAAGGGGATGGTTGATCTCCGTAACTTTCCTTTAATCAACATATGTGCAAAAAATGATTTCACACAACATACTTAACCCGTTTAATAAATTATCCTGTTTTCTGAGTGTGTACAGTAAACTGAATCAAAAATTAATGATATGGATTTGGTCTGCACGGGATGTCAAGCTAAGTCAAGCCACACAACAAGCAAGCAAGAGAAAGAATGACTGACTTTAGAGCTAACCAAGTTTAGTATGTGGAACTCATATATATGCTAGGTCTTTAATAGACCTGATTAAAGGTGTGGCGTGAACACAGCCATAGAGTTTTTACCTTGGAAATGTATCTCATTCGGGGGTATAAAATCAGTGCTACCATATTGCCAACACCGTCCTGTTGCTGACAGATATTTTTTTAGGCATATTTCAACCAACTTTAATCTTAAATCAAAAGGGGTAGGGTTAACAGATCCAGGCTACATAAATCCAGATGATCACCAAACTAATAGCAAAGTTTTAGTGTTTTATGTATCTCTCTTCTTCTAGCTAGAGGTCATCCACATTTTTGAAGCGCAGATTAGGTAGCCCGAAAAGAAGCAGAACCATGGGCAGGAGAAGCAATTCTCTGCTTTTTACCTGTGCTCCTGTTAATAATTAAAATTATTATTTAATTTGCATATTATATTGTATACAATATGTTATACGCAAAACAGTGAAATGAAAAGGCCCACAAAACATAC